GGAGGATGTCTTATTTTTGGGGAAACACGGTAGTTTCACAACCTGCTGATGCAAGAGAGTTGAGAACCTAAGGATAGAGCATTCTGCTTTCTACGCCTTTCTGTCTTTAATTCTTAGCTCCTGGAAGCCAAAGCCATGGCTTACGTCATCTTCCATGTCCTACAAGTTCCTATCCAGGAAAGACCCTTTGTATTGACAGGCTAAATAATGTAGGCACACAGGGGAAGTGGCAATGTGGCGGAGTGTAGAGTGAGGACATTCAGATAGCACGTTGGAGAGATGGTGCATCCTGTCACTGGGACGTCAAAGGCGAACTGTTCCAGGTCCGGTCTTTTGTTGGGCACTCATGTGAAATTGATTCAAAAGCGATAGAATCTTTGCACATATAAACATCGAAAAGAGATGGAGAGCGTGTGTCCAAACAAACCCGATTGGCAGAACATGCAGTGCTGCTGAGAGGAAGCCTCTGGCTATCCATCACACCTTGCAAGATGAACAGGGCGGGCCTGCATTTCCCTTCAAAGGCAGGAAAGCTTAGCGCTCTGGGAAAATGGAGCCCAATAGGAGTTTCTAACCCAGGGTGCTGCCCTTCCGGCTCGCAGGTCATTATTAACTATTCTCGCCTTAAATGGCCGTGACATATAATCTCTTTCCTAATTTCATTATTTCACTTGGTATCACAAGACCATAACTTTTAGACATTCAGGTGAGATTAAGGGAGGAGGAGGTGGAATCAGGCTTTTAAAATCTTTGATTACCTCAGAAAACATATTTGCTTACTTTACCAGGAAGCTGGTGTTTTCTTTTGTTTTGTTTTCTACTGATGCCAAGAGAGGATTAATGAGTAGCCCCTGGGTTTGCCAGCTTTCTTTTGATTTCAGTTTATGTAATTAGGCAGTTCCCAGTATGACTTGAGGTTCTCACTCTGTGTCAAAACATGCTTTTCAGAGGAGTTAGGTGTGGAGGTCAAAAGCAGCCAACTCACTGAATGGAGGGAACGGAAGTGAAAAACTTACCTTGCTTTAAAACATTCCTGATGATGTAGAAAGGGCTGATTATGTTTTGTGGCATTAGGTTGAAAAACTAAATTTTAAAATGGGCTTAAGTTAGCCCTGGCCAGTGTGGCTCAGTTGGTTGGAGTGTTGTCCCATACACCAAAAGGTCACAAGTTTGATTTCCAGTTAGGACACATACCCAGGTTGTGGGTTCAGTCCTCGGTGGGGGAGTGTGCAGGAGGCAACCAATTGATGTTTCACTCTCACATGGATGTTTCTCTCTCTCCCTCCCTCCCTCCCTCCCTCCCTCCCTCCCTCCCTCCCTCCCTCCCTCCCTCCTCTCCCTCTCTTTTCTTCCTTCCTCTCTTTCTAATTTAATTTTTTTTAATGGGCTCAAGTTAAAATAGCTCAAAACAAGGTTACAAAGAGAAGTAACATGGGGAAATCAACTCTGGTTTGTTGTTGAATTTCCAGCATCTAGACTAGAGCAAGCATATCAAACTCACAGCCCGAGGGCCACATGCCTCATTTATTTGGCCCATGTTAGCCTTTGAGCTTGACATGCTTGGTCTAGAGCCCTGTCTATGGTGAGTGTTCAATCACTCATGCATTCTATAAAGACATACCATAGTCCCCTCTGTGCTAGTTCTAGTTGCTAAAAAGTCAGTAAGGATCTACACCTCCTGAGGCTCATAGGGAGTGAGCAGATTTTTATTGAGTGCCTCTCTAAGTACCTAGTTCAGAGCCAGTGATGATGGGGGAAGAATAAGATATGTCCTGAAGGAACTGAGCATCTCACAGGAAGTGAGGACATTGGCCCACAAAACCAAAGTGCTGTTTAAAGCTGTAACTGAGTCGTGGATGCTGACACAGACAGACCCCATGGGGGTGAAAGGTTAGAGTGGGCACCATCTCCATCTCCAGATTCTGCAAGCTGGAGGCTCGCTGCAGTGGCCAGCTTGGCTTTAACTCCCTAAGCAGTGAGAACTTGCAGATACAAATATGGTTCATGTTCTCTCTTACAGTTAGCTTCCTAACTTTATTTATTCTTTTACCCACACAATGCTTGTTTTTAAAGGAAATTATGGCAGTTTTTCTTTGGGGTTAGGCTAACCCACAGTTCCTGCCTTCATTAAGAATACAGAGTACCCAGGAGAAATACATAAATCAGTTAAACAAATAAAACTGTGCTGAATGCTGCAATGAGAACATAGCACACATTAGGGAGAGAAGTCAGGGACAGCTTCCTAGAAGGAAAGATGGCTGCACTTAAATCTGGAGGATGAGGAGAGATTGGCCAAGTGAAGAGAGAGGGGGAAGCATTCCATGCGGAGGGAACAGCATGGGCAAAGGCCCGGTGGTAAGAGGGAGTTTGCTAATGGGGCAGAGGGAGCAAGAGACAGCTGGAAGTGATATGACTCAGGAGGTAGGTAGGGTCAGACCAGATGGGATGCATAGCATATTAAGGAGCTTTCTATTTATTCCAACATTAAGCCTTTAAAAGAATTAATCAGGAGAATGAGAGGAGAAAGGGAGAAGGTTTACAATCAGCATTTCAATTCAGCAAGATACTCTGCCTTTAGTGTGATCAGCATTTTTCTGGGGCAGGTGTGTGTGTGTGTGGGGGGGGGGGTGCTGGAGTCAATGTAGAGAGCATTAGTAAAAAAGCACGTGCAAGAATCTAGACAATGATAATTACTTGGGCCATAATGTGGTCATGAGGGTGGTGAAGATGGGCAGAAGTAGACAAATATGACAGGTTCAAAACAGTAAGTACAAAGATACAATAGGCAAATGCAACTGGGCTTGGTGAAGGATGTGAGGGATGAAGAAGAGGGAGGTATTAAGAATGAATTTCTGGTTTCTGACTTTTACAACTGGCTGAATGGTGAAGCCCTGCCCTGAGACAGGTACCCTAAATGAGGACCATTTTGCTGGAGGAAGATTATGAAGTCGGTTTTTAACGTGTTGGGTTTGAGTGCCATTGAGGCACCTAGAGGGAATGTGGTTAAATGGATCTGCAGCTTGGAGGAGAGGTCTAGGGAAGAGAGAGACCTTTGTGAGTTCTCTTTGAGTCAGGGTGCATTGGACACTGGGTGTGGATGACATCACATAGCAGAGTACAGGGTGAGCAAAGGGGAGGGTTAGAACCCAGTCATATGGGATACCAATACCTAATGCTGGGAGAGGAGAAGCCTAAGAGGAAGCAGGAAAAACCCTGCCAGAAATACAGGGGCGGAAAAACAGCCTGAAAGCCAAGGGAACAAGTGTTTGTTGGAAGAGACAGTGATCAGGAGAAACGCTGGTGAGAGGACAGTAAAAATGAAGACTTTATAATGATAATAATAATAGCTCAACTACCTTCAGAAATAATGGCACTTGACAGTCTTCGTGGAACACTAATTATGAGTCAGGCATTTTAACCTATAATTTAATCCTCATAAGAAGTTTGGAAGGCAGGTCCTACTATCCTCCTCATTTTTACAGAGGAGAAAACTGAGCACAGAGAGATGAAGTCATCAGCCTGGGGTCACTCCACCAGTAAGGGATGAAATGGGGTGGGAGCTCTTCTTCCTCACAGCCCCTTTTCTTCAATGCTGTGTGTCCCGGTGTTGGGAGAAAAAAAGGCAGCAAGACAACATGCAGGGAGAGCAGGCTTTTCCTCTTTAAAGATTTGGATTCTTTCAAACACAGCCCAGGAAATAGTTCATGGTCACTGCAGCCCAAGTCCAAGTTGGCGACCCTGGAATGGTGTCAGTCACAGTGGCTGTTCATGATGGTGTGGTTCGGCTACATCAGGGCTGTGCTTGCCACATGAGAGGCTGGCACAAGTGCTCTGGGACAATGGTTCCCAAAACGGGGGTCCCTGGACCAGCAGCATCGACATGAACTGGGATCAAGATGATGCAGGTTCTCAGGCTCCATCCCCGATCTTCTGAATCAGAAGTAGAACCAGGAATTCATATTCTAACACAGTGTGATGCTGACACACAAGGTTAGGAATCCTTGTTCTTGGGGATCCTTGGAAAGAAAAACTCCAGTGACTTAGAATCCATATTCCTCAAGATGCAGAACACCTTGGCAGAGGCAAGATGGAGGAGCCAGCGGTTCTCAGCCCTGGGTGCTCATGGGAATCATGTGGGGAGCTTGCAAACAACTGATGCCTGAGTCCTCCCCTCAGACAGTCTGGTGTCATGGGGATGGCTTTGTCCTGAGCATTCCGGTTTTGACATGAGGATTTCCGTGGGGAATGGATGGTTGAATGAATGGGCGGCAAGGTGGCCTCTGTACTTCAGAGTACAGAATAGCACTCCGGGGTGAAAGCGAGGCAGGTCTTAAAAGAGGAAGGGCAGGGAGAGTGGAAGAGAAGCTAGACATTGAGCCCTTTGTGAATAGCAGTAAAAGCCTGGACAATTCTGGAGATTGTGGAGCGGGAGAAGGCCATCTAAATTTGTAACAATTCTTAACAGCAGACTTAATTTCAAAGAGATACCAATAATAAGGTAGATGCACGCTATCTGCTTCATGAATGAAGGATCATTGAGAGTTTTGCTGTGTCTTAATGGGAGTGATTCTATGAATTTTGACTGAAAACAATATGCGGACATTCTCCTGGTGGCTTCATTTAGGACTCTGTCTATATGTTAAGAAAGTACTCTGCTCCTCTGACCTCTCAAACATCACCATTTCACCTTTGCTTCATGAACCTTCCACCTCAGCTGACCTCCTTAGTTTACCTGTCCCTAAGCATTTCCACATCCAGGCATTTGTGTTTTCACCATCCACCGTCCTCCCTCCACACACATATACACATCTCCTCCTTTTCTCCAGGCCTTGCCCCATGTAAAATCCTACTGCCCCTCTCTTCTGGCCCCCCCAGCCCCCATTCAGAGAGCTCCCCCTTTTTCTAATTCAGCACCCAGTGTCTTGAAGGTGCCCAGGATGCCAGCCTGTGTCAGCAGCGGCAGGAGGACCAGCTAAATGGCATTTTCTCCTTCCTTTCAGGACCGCCTCTTTTTCGTCATGGAGTATGTCAATGGTGGAGACCTCATGTTCCAGATTCAGCGCTCCCGAAAATTCGATGAGCCTCGTTCCCGGTTCTATGCTGCAGAGGTTACTTCAGCCCTCATGTTCCTCCACCAGCATGGAGTCATCTACAGGTAGCCCTTCTCTTCTCCTCTCTTCCCTAAAAGTGAAAAATTAAAGCTTTTCCAGACCCTGGAGATGACTTGGCTCCTGCCCAACTGGTCTCTCAGTGACCCGCTTTCGATCAGTTGTTTTAATTTGCTTACAGAGGACTTGGGGGACAGGGGGCGGCGGCTGTTTATCACTGTGAATGTTAATATTTGAATAGCCCCAGGAGACACTCTCCTTGTGCCAGTTTTGATTGAAAGCCCAAGAACGACATTTTTAAAGGCCTGGCGCCCAACGACCTTGGGGTGACCTTCATTTCGTTCTCTCCCCACCCTCTTCCTTCAACATCAGGGCATTCTCTTTTCTTTTTCCTTCTGTGCCATGAACTTCCTCCCCTTCCCAATCTCTGGTCGCTTCCTGAGTTTGTTTGGCTTAGTTGTCTCCAGCAGATAGAATCAGAGAAGCAGGAGTTGCTTGGGGGTCTCAGGGTTTATGATCCCAGCTGAGCAGGGGAAGGGAACTAGACAATATCCAGCAGGAAGTGAGTCTTTGCAGATCATCTAGTCCCTTATTACTGTCCTGTTCCCCGGTCCAGGAAAACATCACACACACACACACACACACACACACACGCACGCACGCACACACACACACACACACACACACACACACACTTTCCAGTAAAGCAGCAGGACTGTTTACGCAGGCTCTTCTGTGAGGTCAGGAATTCTGGGAGGAGTAAATATTTATAATTAGCAACAAGGACACTAAAGTTCCCTAAGATTTTTTTTCAGTGACTGTCAATTTCTTGGTTTTTGCTTTCTCCTCCTCTTTTTAATTTTATTTTAATGGGGTAGGCTAGCTGGCTTGGTTCATCCCAGAACTTAGTCCCTCACAAGCTCTCTACTGGTCAGTAAAACTGTCAGTCCTGGGAGCCATGCCCTGACTAAATGTTCGTAAAGGGCTTCCAACCAACTCCTACCGCAGGCTGCCCTTCCTGCTGATATCCCCTAGCTTCCTAAAGGATGAGTCTCTGCTCAGAAACATTCAGTGGTTTTCAATGTGTTGCATAATAAAGCCCATACTTTCTAGCCTGCTGTGCATGGCCCTTCAATGACCACACTGTGAGGTCATTACTTGTTTCCTATGGATGTGTGACAAACTACCAGCTAGAAATCAATGGGGAAAATATCCTTGGGTGAGGACTTAAAAAAAAAAAAAAAAGAATTGCTTGATTAGATCAGGCCTATCCAGGATAATCTTTTCATTTAACTCAAAGTCAAATGATTAAGAACCTTAATTATAACTGCAAAACCACTTTGTCTTTGCCATATAACATCGCATAATCAAGATGGGGAAGCTGTACACAGCTCTGTGGTTTGGACACAAGCAGGAGTGGGAGGTGGGGCTCTCTCTGCTGTGTGGCTGGCTTCTGCCCCAGAAAAGGGTGCATTTTCTCCCCAGAGGAGAGGCCTCTATGTGTTTCTAACAAAGACACAATATGTGCTAACAAGGCTCTGGTGGTCCACAACAATCCTTTCACCACTCCCCCTAACTGTGCACCCCACCATCTAGGTACTCCAGATTGTTTGCCATTCTCCCCCAAATACCATTCTCTTTCATTTTTATGAGCCTTTGTATCCCCACTGTCCTTGGATTTCCCTTGCTCCTAATCAGTGAGTAGCTCCTAATCAGTGAGTGTCTTGATCAGTGAGTAGCTCCCAGTTCATTTTCCTGGTCTGTTTGCCTCAGAGTTCCTAGTTTAAAAAATACATAGATTCCATCCTGGAAGGTGTGGCTCAGTAGGTTGGAATGTCATGTAGTCCCATGCCCCAGAAGGTGGCGGGTTCCATTTCCAGCCAAGTCACATGCCCAGGTTGAGGGTTCAATCCCTGGTCAAGGAGTATGCAGAAGGCAACCAGCAGTTTTCTCTCTCTCTCTCTCTTTCTCTCTCTCTCTCTCTCTCTCTCTCTCTCTCTCTCTCTCTCTCTCTCTCTCTCTCTCCCCCCCCCCCAGTGTGTGAGTGTGTGTGTGTGTTTCTCTCCCTCCTTCCCTCCCTCCCTCCTTCCCTCCCTCCTTCCTTTCCTCCTCTTTCTTTCCTTCCCTCCCTCCCTCTCTCCCTCCCTTCCTGTCTCTAAAACCAATTAAAAAAATATGTAATCCATAATACTGAGGGAGGGGGAATAGAGAGTGAGTTGATGATTGCTAATATGGGTGATGGTACATGTGGGCTCACTATTCTACTTTTGTGCATGTTTTAAATTTACCATAATAATAACCTTTAAAAAAGAATAATGATTTCAGGGTAACATTCCTAGAACTTTTGCTTCTAGGTCTCAGTTGGTCTGATCTCTGGTTCAGGACATTTTTTTTTAATAAATTTTTATTGATTTTAGAGGAAGAGGAGGAGGGAGGGAGGGAAAAAGGGAGGGAAGGAGGAAGGGGGGAGGGAGGGAGAGAGAGAGAGAGAAAAACATCAATTGGTTGCCTTCCACTTGGGGGTTGAACCTGAAACCTGAGCATGTGCCCTAACCAGGAATTGAACCCATGACTTTCAGTGCATAAGACAGCATTAAAACCACTTGACACTGACCAGCCAGGACATTACTCTATTTTTTAAAGCATTCCTCAGGTGATTTAGGGACCGCAGGTCTAAAAAAAAAATGCCATATGCCTTCAGGGCTATGTCAAATGCTCCTGCTCTATGAATCCTTTCCTGACCACCAGGCTTGTCATGGGAATCACACCGACCCTGAGTGACATAACATCTCCCTGTACCAGGCATCTTGCAGGTGCCCTTTGCTGACCTTGTATTTTTACCTGAAATGCCCTTCTGTGATTGAGAACTCCACACTTGAGTGCTCACCTAGTTTGGCTTAGGACAGTCCCCTGCTTGTAGTAGGTGTTCATTTAATACTTGTTCTTCTTGTCTACAGCTCTAGAGCTTTCCAGTCCAGTGGGTTGCTACGTCATAGGTGTGTACTTCTTGAAAGTCTGTGTTGAAAGCATTCCTAACATACAACACACGATTTTTTTCCTTTGACCCTAAAAAATCCCCACTTCTTCATATCTTTCCTTTCATGAATTAATGAGGATCATGTGATCTCTATTTCCCATGATGCTTTGTTTTAAGCTGTCAGCAGAAAGCTATTTGGGGTAGTTAGTCTGCAGCTGACTGGAGAGGCAGTGAGTGTGTATCCTATTGGCTGCCCTGAAGCTCAGGCACAGTCCACATTTTGTGTGCTACGTGGCTTTAATTGCAAGATTGGCCGAGCCAGTTATTGGAGGAGAAGAACCTCAATGCTGAAGTAGATTGAATTTTCCAGCCTTCCTGCTGGAATTTACACATAAACTAATTAGCGACTAATTGGCCAGTATTCAAGAACTAACAGAAGATGACCCTTCTCTGGCCGGTGGCTCACACATGCGGGAGGGCCCACGCTGGCAGGCACGGCCCCCTTCCCTCTGGCCCCGCTCTGTGTCAGGCTCCCCATGCCAAGCAGCCATAGAACTTTGTCTCCGTGTCCCTTCCCAGCATTCCTGGGACGCCTCTGTGGAGGGAGGCATTGGCTCTCTGGGAAGCGGAGCTTTTGAAGGGAGGGCCTTTCTCCTCCTCCCCAACATGCCCCATGCTTGTGCGTTTTTCTCTGTGCTGCTCAGTGGCAGTGGCTGACCCCCTGAGAGCACTCCTCTGCCCATGCGGCATGGATAAGGGGATTATGTGACCTGCCTGGGCCCTGGGAGGAGAATGAGGCTTGGCTACAGGAATGCATCTCCTTCTTTCATAACCTGGAAGCCAGGAGCACTGCCCCAGAGGGTGGCCAAGAAAACATGGCCTCTGCCTCCTTGGCCCAGTGTCTTAACATTTTATTTTACACCTCAGTGTCCTCATCTGTAAAGTGGGAACAATTGCTGTCCCTATCTCAAGAGGTTGTAATGGTTTAGTGAACTGATAGGTCTAAATTTCGAGTGGTGCCTGCTCTACTGTAAGTTCTCAATAAAGCTTAGCTAATGTCATTATATCATAAATTAATTTTTATTAAGATGAAAAAAACATTAGAGATCTTTTACCCAGCCCTGACTTCAAAGGGGAGTCCTGAATTGCAAGGGTGGTGGTGGTGGTGGTGGATGTATTCCTTTCTTCCTTCTTATAAAATGAAAATTCCTTTAAATATTTATATAGTAGTCATAGGAAAAAATAAAAATTTAATCAGCAAAGAAAGGTATAAAATCAGTTTTCCCTCTCCCGAACTCATAGTCCCTCAGGGTAAAACAGTTGAATGGTGTCTAGAAAATTTAAGAAATCTTGTGGAGCAAGTTCCTGGACCTCCTTCCATTGGTGCCTTTCAGAGAAACCTGCCTTGTCTCTGTCATGTGGGAGTCGAGAGTGGTGGCTGGAGGTCTGACTGTAGAGGTAGAGGTGAAGGGTATGAAAACATGTAGGAAATGACAAGGTACTTTATTTATGTAAAGTATTATTAATGGTTAACATTTGTCACTTGGAGCACTAAAAGTCAGTCTTTATCCAGCAGAGGAGGAAGTCTTAAGTTCTAAAGCTCTCTTGCTCTTTAAGTTCTCCAAAACTTTCGGTCTTTAATGAGCCCTCATCACCACTCCCCGGGAGTCAGTCTGTCCCGGAGCCTGTGTGTGCTTGAAGCCAGAACTAGGTGGGCAGTGGGCAGACAAGAGGAGACAGGATGTTTCTGCTTTGGCCCAGGCTAGATCACTCTGTACTCAAGAGGTGCTTAGAAAAAGGCTTTCTTTGTTTATAATGATGTTTATGAAAAGTCAGATAACAATTAAGAGCAGCCCTAGCTGATTTGGCTAGAGCATCAGCCTGTGGACTGAAGGGTCCTGGATTTGATTCTGGTCAAGAGCACATGCCAGGTCATGGGCTCAATCCTCAGTAGGGGGCGTGCAGGAGGCAACCAATCTATAATTCTTTCCTATCATAGATGTTTCCATCTCTTCCTTCCTCTCCCTTTCTCTCTGAAATCAATAAAAAAAGAAAAAGAAGAAGAGCAGG